CTATATTATCCGCATTTTACAACATTTCGCAACGAAACTTTGGAATATTACTAATTTTGTGATGCTCTTTCAAGCTGTGATGAAACTTCTGTCTAGATCAAAATTTAGTCTATAATGCAAATGGTCCATTGTTTAGATCAGTTGACTATTGAGGCGATCGAAAACTTTATAGTAAGTTGTTGAAATACCCGTCAAACTACTGAGTTGTTGCTTTCAAATCGGAGGCGGAGGAAAAAATTTTTTTTTAATATTCCAACCTCTATAATTCATATTCCTACCTTGATAATTTCTAATAATCTATGGGAGCTGGGGGGAAGTGGTTGTGCGGTGGTTGTAGGCAGGGCAAATATTCCAATTTTGTTCCAAATATTCATTCCTACATTCGAATATATATTTAGGGAAATATTCATATTCCTAACATCAATACTCAATTTCAAACGCGAATTACGAGATGACCAGAACGTACATTGTCATTGACATTGTTTGTAGTGGTGAAACTAGGCCATCAGTTGACTTACGGAGTACTATTTAAAACACGCGTTTATCATATTTAAATAGCTTCAAACACAACTACAATGGATCCGTCTCATTTAATAGTATTCTTTATATAACGAATACTACTTAGGATGGACTTTCATATAAATACTAATGAAGATGAGTATTATCAGGTTTAATGCCTCTTCACGTGACACATTATTGTTGACATGATTTGCCACTAAGCCTATGAATTATTAATGAGTGTTTGAAAGGTTTCGCTGGATTGGTGTTTTGCATGAGCCTCGTTTTGAGCTTCGATCACTTTTTATATGTTTGGTGCATATTTCATATGTGTGAATTATATGTTCAGAGTTCGCAATCTTACCTGACTTTCCAACTGATGCTTGTCCTAGGAGCACGAGGTTATATTCCTTTTGAAAGGGAACTCTTGTATTCCCAACATGAACATCAAACTTTGGCGTATCTTTTTTAACGTTAATTGGTTTTGACGTAGTGGGTGAGTTTGAACTCGAAAGTCGCAAGTCCACATCAGATTTGGAATGTCGCAGTTTTCCTTTTTTGCCAGGTAGAGCTGCGTGGTTTTGAGACATGCTCCATCGCTGCATGGCCATTTTGAATAGAGGACAAAGGCACTCGCTTTACTTTGTGACTGTAGCCTGTCTAGTTTCTATAGTGAATGACATATCACGCCACAGACAGGCTGCGTAAAGGCACTCCAGAAATGTACCGGAATATCTCATCCCACCGAGATAACAATCTTGATTCGCATATACAGGTCATAACCTATACGTCAAAAATTGAACATTAAATGTAGATTACAAATTTCTTACACACGTCGCATGATAAAAAATCGTCTGAAATTAGCTCTAGAAAAAGTCATGCAGTGCAATTAACGCGCAATTATGACAACTGAACAATGGCAATGGAGTAACTCAATCCTGCAAAAAAAGGACAGCAAGGCTTGCCGCATTAACACTTATCATGCACAATCCTTAACAATAAGTGTATGCTAAGGACGTCCGAAAAATGAAACATAATACACCCTCATAATTTTAATTCAGAAACTGCTATAGTCCTATACGCAGAGAATATGCGCAATGTATCAAATAGCACGAACCATTAACGCATTTTAGCAAATCTTATGACTTATCAGCAAACGTATTTTATGCACCTAGTACAATCAGATAACATGGCACCTCCTATACCGCCGTTATCGGTCGTTTTCCACTGTTCATACTAGTACTAAAAAAGATACATTTTCGTAATTTGCTGTGTTTATTCATTTGGACGTTAATTATGGAAAGATCCTCCAGGAAGAACTGGAATAGATCTACAGAGGAAGAGGCAAGGACTTACGTATTGTTCGCTGAGGTCAGACTTAAAATCGTCGCTGATGACACGGCCTTTTTTGGCTTTGCAATGTGAGAAATCGATTAAAAAGTTAAAACAATCCTGCGCAGAGCATTCTGTTGTCTTAATTTGTAACTATTGCTTCAATTCAGATTAATGAGCAGTATACTCATCGAGGATTGTGTTCATGACGTCAGCGCTTTTGACAACCTCCGTTTTGGCAACACCTCTTGTGCAAGACCTAATAAAACATCCTTTTTGTTGTTCCAGAGAAACAATTTTGATAAAGGAGCGTGCACATGAAAATACATTAGTAGTGTTGGAATCTCGTTGCAAGCAACAATCCTTTGCCATTTACCACTGACAGTTAAAAGCTAAAAAAGGTTGACGTTTGAAACAGACCTAAGCAATGACCTAAGCCTAACAAGTTACTCTCATTCTATAGAATCTTGAATGGCTCTTGCGCTGGTACCAGGTTGTTTCATCTTAAGACAAACGTACCTCCAATCTCCAACATGGAATGCTGAGCAAATTAGTGATTCTTGCAATGGAGGACTTGGACATCTACCCCACTTCACTAATGATAACGGCAGGGCCGGCGTTAGACGTCTTAGATTGTGGGGTAGGGGGTGGTATGGCTTTGAAATTTGCCGAGTTATTGGGGAAAATTTTGCCGATTCACTCCAACCACTAATTAGCGTGGGGGGGGGGGGACTAAAATTTTTTCCGGACATCATATTATTTATCGTATTTTCGGTTAACAGTAGTTCATTCCGTAATATTTTCAAAAACATTTCACCACATCTTTACTATCATTATTAATTTTTAATCAGCATCACTGAAATACGTCATTATTTTCCTTCTTAACCAAATTCGTATTTTGCGGACTGGGATTCAATATTTTGCCGATTACCTGATGACTTGGGGGGGGGGGGGGTTCCACCCCCAATACATACTCCTTTAGCGTCGCCCTTGGATAACGGCTCATGTAACCAATGAAAATGCCAGAAGGATTCCCAAATTAAAAGAATTTATATAATTTTATTAATCATTTAAAATTGCTATTTCACACACACAGATATATATTATTTATGAGTACCCTACTCATCTGATGTTTTGGCACTGAGAAATTTTATCATCATTTAAAATTACTGAAAATCGATTCGACCAACACATTCGCCAGTTTAGAAAGAGCAGCACAAAAACAACGGAATGTAATTCAAATATAGGACAACATTAAAGGACCAAAAATCTGTCATTTATATGTAAAATATATAGTACAATATTCAGAGCCAAATATATTGGTAACATGCAGGTCCTGGGTCGACACGTACCTACATATTAAAAACATGTTTTATGATTGGTAGATTATAACAATCAAACTACATACAACCAGACACAAACACTGACCAATCAATCACCAAACATGTTCATTAAGAGAGCATGCAGTTATGTCAGTTGAGCTAGTCTCCCAGCTACAGGAAAATGATCAATGATCAATCTTTCATATTGGAGAATAGCCTAGAACTGATAGAGCTATTCATGCATGATGCATCGTACATATAGGCAGTTTAGTTTCTGAAATTGACAGTATAGTGGACACGATGAGTACGAAGGTGGGAGACCGCTTCCCCTCTAAACGACAGCTGATTATCTAAAAATAACTAAATCAAGTAACTTCCTCGAACCCAATGTGAATGACTTAAGGTGGCTGCCTAGCAGTGCTTCCACAACCGCTTGTTCAAAAATTTCCCACAAAATTTCCCTGCCAAACGGTGGAAAAAATCAAGAAAATTCAGGCAATTTGAGGCAAATGTATCATAGACCCTACGAGAAATCGAGTATCATTACATTGCCTGAAATTTTGGGCAAGCTTTCAAGAGTTCCCTCCATGAAAGTATCTGCTCCACATATATGTTTATGCTCATCCAGGGCGCAGGGTGCTTGATAATTGTGGAGGGGTCGGATGGCAGGTGTTGAACGACAAATTTTAAAATTTATAGTCTCCAGATCGCCGGAAATGGCATTTTCAGATCTTCCGTACCTCTTTTGTTAGGCCTATACTATTTATAAGTTCATTTTTACTGGTTTAAGTGGTTTTAGACTTGTAACTGGTATAAGTTACAGAAATCCTTGCAATTTCCTTTAATTTTTGTATTTTTTTCCTGCCATTTCCTTGTAAATTTCATTCCTTGCAAATTCCTTGCAAGGACCAATATTTCCTTACTGCAAGAAAAAAATCCTTGTAAGTGGAAGCACTGCTCCCTAGATTTTATAGAAAGATTGAAAATTCATAAATTAGAAGAGATGTTGTTCGCAAAAAATTGTATACCATATATACAGCAACAATCAAACATATAATATTTTGTTTGTGGAAACACCACGGAAAATCAAACAGTTTGAAATTGGTCACATTGGTCACCACGTACTGTTGCTATGGCAACAATGACGACTCAAGATGGCTTTGGCTTTCAACGCACTTTACTTAAAAAAACCCCGCCTGGTAACCCCATTTTTTAATGCAAGAAACATTTTCTTGTCGTACAATAAACTATCTGACCAATTTTAAAAAAATTCTGTAGAGCCAACTTTAAAAAAGTTATAAACATGGTTTTTCGAAATAAATTTTTTGGCTCTACAGAATTTTTTCAACTTGGTCAGATAGTTCATCGTACTATAATAAAATGTTTTCTGAAATAAAAAATGGGGGTAACCAGGCGTAATAAAATGTTTTCTGAAATAAAAAATGGGGGTAACCAACTTAAAATCTTAAGTAAAGTCAAAATATCGGCCATCTTGAATCGTCATTGTTACCATAGCAACGGTGGTGACGGCAAAAGTGACCAATTTCGAATTCTTAGACTGTTACTTTATAAAAGTTGTACAATATTTTTTCAGATAAGTAACATTCCTTCAAAACGTTTGATCTAATTCATGGTTTTCTCCTATTTTTAAATTGTAGGTAGCCACCTTAAATACATTGTTTGAGCTCATTAGTTTGACATGTGAAAAATTCGACGTTTGAACAAGGCCTATGTTATTGAGGTTTGTTTCAACCAATTGGAACAGGTATGTCTTTCTATTTAAGCACACAAGTATTAAAATTGAACCAAAACAATGCTAGAGGACTAGAATTTGCAACAGCAAAAGGGCTGGAATATCGTGTCATGTAATCTAAATTCGCAAAAAGCCTATAAAATGTCTGCCACTGGATATTCACTGATAGTATGCGACCAATTCTGGTGCATGATTAATTGCTGTGTAAATGTCGGGCGCTGGATATTTCTAACCCATTGCTAAAAGGTCTGTCACCGGATATTTCTAACCCATTCACCACCATGTTCAAATAATGTTACCTAAACCACAAGTCCCAAGTTGAACTTCCTAATTTACAATACAATATCCATGTTTCTTGCCACAGTTTAACATACAAACACACAAACGTTTGCACATAATTTCATTCAATCACGCCAACACACGACTTTCTTACTGCTGCTGTAGTTATATTAATCAGCCATTGGTATCAAACCGTTTTCTTCAGGCTTTAGGAACTCTCGAACGATAGAATTGACGACATCTTTTATCGTTGTTTGACAAACCTCCTTACTCACTCTGGAATAAAAAAATCACATTTCTATTGATTTAGCAAATAAGGATGAACATATATAGCTATAGTTTGATTAACAATGGTAATTGAACTGAGTGGAGTGCAGTTTGGTTCGGATTAAACGAGTGATTATAAAATTGCACGACTACGAAGCGTGCTGTTCCTGGTTAGGTCTAATAAATGCACATAAATTTCCACTCGATACTTTCCATCTACTACACACTTCAACTCAGTGGATTTCGTTGTGGGATTGCAAATAATTAAACGAACTCGCGGGTTAACAATATTAGATGATTAAGTGGCTCCACACCGGCCGGACAAGCTGAAAAGTTGTTTGACCACGGTGAGAATAAAACCCTCGACCATTGGTTGGCTAGTCCAAAGTCCTACCAACTGAACCACGAGGTCAAGTCGGTCCGAGTGGCGGATATTTCTATATTTCTAATTCTTTCGGTGTCAGTATAGATATTATGAAACTCTATAAGGATTAGTCTACCAGAGTTAATTCTAATTCTTTGACGTTAGATCGTATAAGATATAATTATACTCTGTGATATCGAAGAATAATTATAATTGGTGACGATTAGTTATTTTTCGGATTATCTACAAATAAATACGTTGATTAGTTTGGGACTTGTCATTGTATATATTTATATTCATGTTAAGCAGAATACAGTACAGTATATGGCGCATATTAGGAAACGTAAATTTTGTCAAGTACTGTTTGTAGAGACATGTTGAGCATCTCACTCGAATGACTCGATAGATATAATTGTAGAAGGGTTTTGTTGATGGAAATTTTCGAATGTAACAAAACCTTTCCAAGATTACATGTTGAATCACCTCGATATCTATAGTTTGTTTTACACCAATCTATGTCGTGTTATGGCACAAACCCTATGGGACAACTCAAGCTGAAAAATAGCTACCGATGCTCACATACAGTATTGCAACATGCTGATGCCTCAACAATCCGTAAATCCAAAGTTATACTATGGTTATACCCACCCTTGATTCGGTTGAGCAATCAACTCTGAATAGTATTTGATCTTTGGCTCAGTTCCACTTGTTCTGAGTGTGGCAGTACAACCATTGTCGAAGTAAAATGTGATCATCTCACTGGAAGAACTGACAGGAAGTATCTATGAAAGCAAAACAATGGGTAATTACGATTACGATTACATACATACACATACCTTCCCAATCAAGGGAATACGCTTTGTAGAGTTATTGCTCTACAAAACCCACAGCGCAAAAACGTTTTTTAAGAAAATCATAAATTCAATTCTTCAATCATGTCCCTCCATTTTGCTTTGTCAAGAGCTATTTCGTGCAATTTATTGGTATCTATGAATCTGTCCACAAGGGTATTGAGGTGCTCCTCTGTGTCTCTTTGATCGTACCCATGAAGATAACATCTTTCTTGGTAACCGTGACCATGGCATTCGAACTTCATGGCCAGCCCAGCGTAGTTGTTGTTTACAGATGTATGTGTCGATTGATTTCAATGAGAGTCTTTCCATCAAAGTATCATTCGAGATCCTGTGCTCATGAGTATGTCTTCTATTTACTCGACACATAGCTCTCAAACGCCTATGGTTCGCAGGAGATGATTCACATCATTTACATATCAAACAAATTGAAATATCACGGGAACAAAGTATAAAATCAAGAAAATGAAGAATAAGTTACACTACAGCTTAAAGAGTTCTTTCATTCAAGAAAATAATCATATTCATGTCATATGCACTTTTATTAATAAAGCAGGACATCATAATTGGCGTCATGTATAATTATACAGTACAATGAATTATTAGTGAAGGTTTATATTTTGTTACCATCAAACAAATTAAATAATCTAAGGATCATGAACATTGATGCTGATGAGAAAGCATATTTTGCTTCTTCCAATAGACCTTTCCCCTTATGAGTGAAATTTTGATCTACAGTAGATATGCCTGGACAAAAATTTCATCACAGCTTGAAAGAGCATCACAAAATTAGTATATTCTGAAGTTTCGTTGCGAAATGTTGTAAAATGCAGATAATATAGCCTTGCGAAGTTTGCCGTTTTTCAGTCATTTTGCATTACAAACGGGAAATTGATAATCAGTTTAATCATCTGATTATCAATTTCCTGTTTGTACTGTAAAATGACTGAAAAACGGCAAACTTCGCAAGGCCATATTATCCGCATTTTACAACAATTCGCAACGAAACTTCGGAATATTACTAATTTTGTGATGCTCTTTCAAGCTGTGATGAAATTTTAGTCCAGACTGGTCTAGATCAGAATTTCACTCAAAAGGGGAAAGGTCTATTGATCCCATCACATAGGAGCAACGAAATAAGCAACATATGTCGTCAGGATGAAAGAGTTACTTTGCAGTTCTAAGTTAAAGGTTACGCGCATTTTAAGTTAACCCAGTAACAAATGAATTTTAAAATTATACTGTATCTACGTTTTCAGATTTGAGTTCTGTTTGGAAAGTAATTGAATGCATGACATCACGTCAATGTAAACATTCAAAGCCAAAACAGCCAGAGGTTGCGAACGAATCGAAGTTTGGAAATACTTACAGCTTTGTTATCCGGCTGCGTGTTATCATATCCTGTAGTAAGATCTCGTACACCAATGATTTTATAATCTCCACACGTCCTTGCGTACTAAAGATTAAATACATTATACTTCATCTATATCGCATTAAAGAAGTATGTAAATAAGAAAATATGATTTCCACCAACTATATGCAAAACATTATAGTCCTTCCTCTTCACGTTGTATCAATTTACCAAGACTGGGTGCTCAATTTAATTTTATTGGATCTGGTATCCGCTTTATTTCATCAAGTTTTCAAGACTATAGTCTTGAGCAATTTTCAATAGCCGATAGCTGTTACTTCATTTTAGCTGCTCACGCAATCAGCGTGCAATAATTGTTTTTTTTTGGACTGAATTGCGGTTCAAAAAGAACTATTGCACACTGTAGAGCTCAAGCCCCACAGTGCGATCGGCAGCTTGTACCATAAGGTTGCGAAATTTTAAAAGTTGATATTCACCTCCTTAATTAAAGAGACAGTCCAAGTTACTGTTAAAGAGAAAGACCGTGTGACAGCACCAAACAGGGTACGAATACGCGAAACAATGCAAATCCATTTTCGACAAGTATTCAAAACACTATTTTTTTTCTTTAAACGTTTTTGTTTTATCTATCGAGTCCACACTCCACAGGCCGTCAGTCTCGGCTTTCTTGTCCCTTCTCGGTCTGAATAATTCTTGATATCAAGCTCGGCCTCAACCAATAATTGTTTAGTAATGAAAAACGGGATGGCATGGAGAAAAATGGAAATTTTCTAAACAATGAAAAGAAAGTGGGATTATGCTAGAGTTATGCATATTACAAAACATACCTCGCCTTTGTTCATGGTTCTGATATCATTAAAAATCTTTTTGATCATGTTCACATCATAACAAAGGTAATAACCATTGCTGGTCACGTGAATACCATACCTAGCGATTGAGGAAACCCGAATTAGAATTTGATTGAACAAGGATATATCTGGGCTTCGAGATATGATACGCCGATCGTATTTGGGTACCTTCATTTTGCCATAATTATGATCTGGTACTATATGCTTGAATAATCAGGGTTTTTTTGGCTAAAATTTGTGTTTTTTACAATACAGGCTCCAGAAATCTAATTATAGTTTGTCGAACGTCCAGTCAGCACGAAGAAACGCAATTTCGAATGATTTGATTTTTTGATCTGTCAGGAAGGTTGTTTTGAATTTTAGGTTAACATAGGGTTAAGCTAACCTAGCTTTGAACAACTGGCCCCTGAATATTATATACAACCATACGTACTTGTTGAATACATTTTCAAGTTGCTGCGTCAAAGTCACTCCATCTTGCGCGAGGTAACAGGCCAGTTCCGCTAGTACCACGCATGCGCTGATTCCGTCTTTGTCTAGGACGTTTGTACCACACATGAAACCTTGAAGAAAGAACAGAACCGTCAGTAAAATTGATTAATGGTTGGCAAACTGTACTAAACGTACATATAAACCTTTTAACTGCTAGTGATCATGATAGTATAATTATAACTGGAACGAGTAAGTTTAAATATGCACACATCTCTTTTTTGCAATTGTTACGTCGCTTTCAGGCTTTGTTTAGGAAGGCCCGAAATTTTAATCCTACAAAAAGTTTGAACGTTCAAAAAAATGGAAGAAAAGTTTGGTCGGAAACAAGATAGTTCAATGGAAAAAGATAACTCACCGATAGCCTCTTCAAACGAAAACAGAACGACTTTCCCTTCTTTCTGAAAATCAACAGCACGGTTTGCTATCCATTTAAATCCAGTCAACGTCTCCTATAAGATAAATATAGTGGACACACAAAATCGTTAATGCCAAGGACGTTGAAAACTGAATTTTATGGAAATAGCAGCCAAAACCCCAGCTTTTTACAACACGTTAAATGGAAAACATTTATAATTTCTGCAACACTAATGATGTTGGAAAACATCCATTTCGAGTGTAAAATAAAGCTCTAATTTTTCCATATATGCAGAAAACATTAAAGTTGTTTTTACAGACAGTTATTTTGCTTATTTTGATACGCAGGGTCAAGGATGCTTGTCCTCGTACATTCCCATTTTTAGCCTCATCTTTTTTTGTTATAATTCATTTTTCGCGCACGAATAATAATAAATATTTATAGGGTTGGGGTTATTGTTCTGATCATGATCAAGAGGAATATATTCATGGCGGGAACATGATGATGCAACCCTTTCATTGTTAGCTGCCATCTTAAAAATTGTTTACTACCACTACATACTACTATATTTCTATAGCCATATTGTTTAAAATTGCTACTATTTATACATACGTCATACTTGAACCCCTCCGCTAGTGCCATTGTTTTAAGTATCTGTGACGACACCGTTGTAGCAACCATGCTAACTTTTTCACCTGAAAACATTGAATAAATGTTTATTGGCACATGAGGTTAGTGTTACACTAAAGTCCGCAATGAACCATAGGATTACAAGAACCACCGGCCAGAAATTTAGAAAATTAAGCACCTAAATCACATGAATCACTTCAGGCTTAAAGGCACAGTTCAGCCTGTTGAACGATGGTTTTTAAGGCGCATTTCAGCTCTTTTAATTGAAAAAACTAAGTAGGAAAATCAATTAAGCATAATTCAAGATCACCAAACTCAATGTTTTTAACATTCTAAAACATTTTTATTGTTAAAAACATCGAGTTTACTGATCTTGAATTATACTTAATTGATTTTCCTAGTTAGTTTTTTCAATGGACAACTTGCATGTTAGACAAAATTTTAATCTAAGCAGAGAAAAGGGAATCAGACACCACAGCTAAAAAGAACATATTGAAATTAGTAAAAGTGCAAAATTTGGTTGCGAAATGTTGTAAAGCTTGGAAAATATAGCCTTGCAAAGTTTGCATATTTTCAGTATATTTGTATTACGAGCGGAAATTGTTACCATTTTTGAGCCGAATTTCGCAACCAAATTTTGCAAGTGTACTAATTTTAATAAGTTCTTAACGGGAATTTACTTTCTTTTTGCCTAGATCGGCTAGATCAAAAATTTGTCTAACATGCAAGTTGTCTATTAAAAGGGCTGAAATGCGCCTTAAAAACCATCGTTCAAAAGGCTGAACTGTGCCAGCCTTTAAATGTTGGAAACTTTAAAGAGACAGTTATGTGTTAAATTTCTTTAAAACTTTTTTCACTCAAACCTGGTATATCGTTGGGATGATTTTTCTTATGACACTCCATGAGCCACCAGCCAAGTAAAGTTCCAATCTCGTTACCAGACAAGATTTTCCACGAGCCACTGAAATAAACAAACAGTAAAATAACAGTTCAAAAGATGAAATCATTCATGACAAATCAAGGAGTGGCAAAAGTTGAACGCCTTCTAACTCTTATCATCATATCAACATCTTGGTTTCCACAGTCCTGTTAACAATTATTTTGGGCAGTGCATTGGTATGATAAAAATGAAGGCTGTCATATGCCCTGGCCTTGCGAAGACAGCGATTTACAACTCCACCTTTCAATGTTAAAAAGCGTATAAATCAAAACAATCAAAACCAACATTGCACGGGGCCCTAGATGCTAACAATATAGAGAGTGACATTTTAGTTTACAGCTAAGTGTCCACGGACGTTTTGGCATTGCATAGCTATGCAAGATTTCAGCAAATATCTCTTACGTATTTTCAATTCACAAAATTCCACATATCTTCGACAAAATTCCCTCCACACCTTGCGGCATGTAATTCTTTCAAAAACTTCACATTATTACAAGCATGAAATTGTGTGTGGAATTTTGGAAGAGTAAGCATGACATTACATTAACCACTTACTTTGTTTGTTTTTCAGCTGCACCAAGACGGTCAGCGTCTGGATCGTTTGCTAAAATCAGTGTACTGCCATTCTCGTTCGCCGTTTTCACTGCCAAATCCTGTGAGGCAGGGTAAAAACACTTTGTTTAGATTCAGCAATTGTTTGCTTGGGTAGGAAAACGGGCTGACATAAAATTTCACACAACATTAGCTCATTTTTTAATGCAAACATAGTATAGTTTAAAGAATATCCTTAAAGAAGATAATATGTTCACCTTTCCGGAAATTACGTCACTTTGGCAATAGAGCCTCGTTTTCGTGTACCATATATCAATTAAAGTCCACGTCTCAATCACGAAAACGAGGTTCTATAGCCAAGGTGACGTACTTTACGGAAGCATGTATTTTAAGTACAGATTATATGCTAAAATACACAATGAATTTTGAAATGGTTGCTTTGAAATATTACTTTTGAACTTCTGAAATGGTCTTTTGCACTTTTGTTGTTATATCATGGTAATTAAAACTGATTTTATAATGACTAAATCACAGATAAGCAAAAATAAGTTACAGATTCAGTACCAGAACACTCTTGCCTTCTTCTGGATTAGGATACTTCACAGTGCTAAACTCGGGATCAGGTTCAATCTAAAATTTCAAAAGCAGTATATGACTGATATGAATTTAAACAAATGTGCGTGAAGCATTCAACAGATAAAGTCTTAATGGTGCTACAACAGTTACACCATCCAAAACTCTCATTCACATTTTTAAAATAATTAACCACTGTTCGAAACAGATTTTTCCCACCCGAAATTTGTATTTTACAGCATGGGATCCATCCAAACTTATCCAAACTGAATTATAACGATTTCGCTTGAGCATATATGAAAATGAAGATATAGTTCCTTGGATAACTACAATTAAACATTTCAATCTGGTAATTGTGAAAAGATGTTCCAATATGAAATCACTGCACGCAATCACTTGGGTATTTTCTACATTTCTTTTCGTTATTTTGTGTTTAGCTGCCTTTATGAAGCCATTGCATGGTCAAAATGTTGGGGTAAAATAATATTATTCCACAATTCAGTGTTTTTGTCCAATGAATAGCTTAATTATGACGTTACTTCCAGCTTCACATCAAAATATATGTAGTGAAGAAGTATGTATTAATCGTTCACCTGCTCAATAACGGGAACAAAAGGATGAAGACCAAAAGCTGTGAAAGCCATTTTAGCGAATTCATAACCAACGCCATGAACTGGTGTGTAGGTTATTTTGAGTTTGCTTGAAGCCATCACATCCCTAATAAAATGAACGAACTATAGTTGGGACAATTATGGCATCGTATCATGGTCAATCAATCATAGAGATCGTAAAGACCCTCTGCACTTCATCCTGAGCCATTGAACTCGAAAAAGGGGATTATATACGATCTACAAAAAAATGCATACAATAGTTGATTTCTCTAAATTATTAAAATTTTACGTCTAGCATGGTAAATTTATTCCACCAATATTACATCTAAACGTTACAGAATAAACCAAATTACGTTGAGCGATATTGTACATTCCAGACGCGAATAGCAAGATGGGCATGCATGCCAAATTTTAATATTATTAGCTCTTAAGATAACCTATGACCATCCTTTTTGTTTTGGCAATACATGATTTATAATACATTTCACCCTATAAAATATCATATCCTTTTGGCGTTTGGATTCTACGTTTAACTATTGCTTGTGACAACCTTTCATGCTGACCATATCTGAAAATTTGACGTATTCAACCCATAAAATGATATTAAATTAAAATTTAAACAACTTTCTGACAAAATGCACATTTTGACACAATGTCATTGATAATAGATATCTATTTTGGGCAAAAAAATATGGTACGTCACCGACACCGGCCTTAATTTTCCCGCGATGATAGCTTTTTGGCTTATATATAGGCTGCATGTGTTTCTATGGTAACACCAAGAGTAATGCATTCGTATTCAATCACTCTTTTATATACATGGAATCAAAGAATTAAGCAAAAGATGGAATTCTCGCAGTTAAACTCATGGTCAATCATGATATGCATGAATTCTCTCCAAAAGATGGAATTCTCTCTAAAGAGCTTTTAGTTCAAAACAATGATACATAATGGGAAACTGTAGCGAGCCTCCTTAAATGCATTATTATACTGATTATTTTGACTCAGGTCGACGTTGAAGTTATTCAATGGTTTGAACGTTGAATGAAAACTAAACTGCTCACACAAACCTGTAATGACAGAGTTGTTGTACATCCTCGTAGTAAAGTTTCGTTACATCGTCTAGCGGATCGGTTCTGTGTGGATTATGTTTTACTAATTCTGTGTTCCACGAAGACTTCCATGGCTCTAGATTATTTTCTATGCAGTCGGATATATGTTTATCATGAGGTGACCTAATCTACGAAAAAGCAACACGGTATCTCACAACAGGCTGTGGGTTTACGCTATCAAAGTTTCTGTGATCACAGTATAGGAATTTTGCATAGGTAAATTTTAAGTTTTGAAGGATCTGTAAGAAATGTTCCAGGAAACTGACTTCCCTGGAATATTTCATACAAATCCTTCAAAACATAGAATTTAATAATGCAAAATTCCTACTGTGATCACAGAAACGTTGACAGTGTAAACCATCCTGAAGTGGACTGTTCGGTTGGGGCAAAACAGTAAGATGCAATTATAATGATTTAATTGAACATTCTATACAGGTGAGTTTCAAGCAATGCCACAAGACTTTAATTGACACCAAGGCAGATGGAGCTAGGTCAAATAATGAGATTCTTTTGTTTAAATGCTCTCCATGCACATGTACTGAACTGGAGGCTGAAGAAAGACACCAATTTAAAATATGTATAGCTTAAGAATAAAAGCAATTTTTGAATCAAGACAGAAATATTATTTGGTTATACTCTTACTTTGACAAACTGTATGTTCGTGGTACAATAACAATATTCATATTTGTTGCCTGCTATAGTGGTTTCTGAACAAGCTCAATGTTCAAGTATACCTATCACTGACATAACGTCCAATTTCATCAGCCTATGAGAGTTTTGCCTGCATGACTGTACAGTATTATTGGAACAGGCAAACTGTAATAAATCGGACGTTATACATGACAACAAGAGAAAGCTCAATTCGCAAATTGAAAACACTGTCAATTTAAAAGAAGCAAAAACTTACTTGGGCTCCATTATCAAGATAGACCTATATATGAAAAATGAAATAATTGCATAAAAACAATCTCACCATATATGTCCAAGCTCAATAAAGTGTCAGTCAAACTCGCTCATGTTCAGGTTTTGTTGTTTAAAAAGGTTAGATGACTCAATTTAAATTCCATTCTGCAATACGAATGTAATGTTCAGTATTGAATGTAGACTTATAGGGTAAATAAACAAAGTTAGCATCATTGACAAACTTAAGCTATTTACGTATTCAAACAACATCATGAAAGGTAAAACTGAGAAGGTAAAGAAGAAATATTAAGCTTACACAGAACTACAGAAGAAGGAACGGAACTCAATCAAAGAAGTATCTTGCTGATGAGGTGCGACAAAACTATGTATTAATCAAGAGTAAATTCAATGTATTCAAATGTCAATAATTAATAATACATTTATTACTGTATGTTCATAATTATTAGAACGGACCCTACGGCCAATTGTACTACAAATTATTATGTTTATCTCATTTTTACCATGCAACACTATGGTTGATATGATAATATAAAATAATTGTTAAATCAGGTAATGAACTAGGTGTGAGAGCTGATTGTAAAACTATTTCAAGATGTTAAAACAAACATGCAAGGATCATACGGTTATCCATGAACATCAAGTTGTACACCATCATACAGGCATACTTTTTTATTTGTGAGTATCTGACCTTCAAAGCACCCCTGATTATAATCCTTAACTCCCCTGACCCTATAACTGCATGGGCATTGCCCCCTCACCCTAACCAGGGGATGGCTAGCTATCTATCCCATGTACTTCGTGCAGCGCGACCTCCGTATGAACGGATTTGACTTCCACTTTAACATCAGCAAGAGAAATATAAAAAATGGCTATTACCTTATAACCGTTGTATTCCTTTGGATTATGGGATGCCGTAATCATAACTCCAGCAGCACATTTATATTTCTTTACTGTATATGGCTATTAAATGAATTTTAAACTCAGTATATTATCAAGAGACTTTATAATAAAAGTAATTGATGTTCAGTATCCATACACCATTCAAGGGAATATATTAATATCTGTTCTCCCAATTTTAAATTATTAATGCTATTAAGTAACAACCAAAATAATCATTTTTCAAAAATTTGTGAACTTCTCCGACCAAATTGTATTACACAAGTTTTTATTTTTCAAACTCTCGCCTAAATATTATGCATACATGCTCGATATTTCGTGCAGAGAAGCGCAAGGCTCTGATCACTTATCCACCAACAGCCTCATACGTACCTTCCTCCCTCTCGTCAATGTCAAGAGAATAAACATGGTTAAAGAAACCCGAAAAGACACAATGTGACTCAATATCTGTTTGTTCACGTTTATGTAAAAACATGGTCGGTGCATCGTCACGCGGGTGTATTGTATTTTTGGATATCAATATCAATATCAATATTTTGGTGTAATTACCCATGCATTACATGAGACATTATGGTTCACTCGGTATTGCTATTGGTTGATTGGGAGGAACTAAAATAAACACGTGAAGGCAAAATGGCCATACTTTTGCACAAACGTCTTGAAGCAACATAGGTAATGAATACAATTTGCCCGACAGACAGTGTTTCTCCAAGTTCCATAACCATGCCTATTTTATTAACCATGGTATAATTTAGGAGAAAAATGAGGCAGGTCCGGCCAGGGTGCCTGGGTAACCCTCTTGCCACTGTAGATAATTAAGTAAGAGAAAAAGTTTTTTTTGTCTTCCAATTTTTCTTTACAAGTCGTAATGTAAGGGAGAATTAGAAGAAAGATAAACATTTTTCACCCAGTAAATTAACGCTAACACAGTGATTTACAACGTATTTACCACAAAAGGAGTAGGAACAATCTTTCCAAATAATTTCACTTTAATTCCTTGACTTAGGAAAACTGCGCCAGTTAGACAAGCCAGCCTGTTAAGAATACAAGACATTAGAATATAAGACATTAATCAATTAGTACTAAACATATTATGCAATCTAAAAACATAAGATTTTGAGACAAAATTAACGATAATAATAATATATTTGTTTAACGACGGAAATATAAATTTGCTGACAGCAAGAGGACTGGGGCAGCTGTTACTTCATGCGCAGGCGTCTAGGATCTGAACGTTAGCTTCAAGAAGAAATAAGAGTGAAGGAAGAAATACCCTCCGATGTCAACCCGTACTACATTGTTACAGTTAATTCAATTAAGGTTGTCATTCCAAAAACTTAAACCTTAAACTCTGAGCGCGCAAGGGATGATGGGTTATTGTTTATTTAGACTCATAAACTTTGAAATTTGGCTTTGCATGCAAGAATACCTAAGACACATAGAAGACTCACGACAGAAAATATACTCGCTGCAAAGGCAATTTTCTGAGTTTAAGGGCCTAATAGGCAGGGGTGTATATTCTTCTATAATCCCCCCCCCCCTGGGGGGGGGAAAAGAATCAAAGGGTCTTAGGGCTAGGGAAGAAAATCAAAGAAGAGTAGAAAAAATGGAAAGGCAGAGGGGAAAGAAGAGAAAACTTTCCGTGGGTAATTCGTGAAAATCAGTGTTTCCACTTTCAAAAATGATTTTTTCTATTTTTTTCCTAATGGAAAGTAACTTAAATAAATATGAAAAGCTTTACTGAGGATTGCAAATTTTGTAAATAATAACTTATAACTAGCTAATTTATCATTTAGGTATTTTATTCTATCTTGGGGAGGGGACAAATATACTATGTCACAGTATTACTATTAGGTACAGGCCTTTGAGGCTGATGTAGTAAAGATATGGGGAAAAGAATCAAATCTGAAAAGAAGGGGGGGGGGGGAAGAATCAAAGTTCATTGAAGAATATACACCCCTGCTAATAGGCAAAAAACCATCATCCCTTCCGCGCTCAGAGTTTAAGGTTTAAGGTTTTGGAAGGACAACCTTAATTGAATCAGCTGTATATTCCAGTGTGATCTGTGCGATAAAGATTTATATGTAAAAATAAGCGAGTAAGCAAAATTAAAATTGAACTGCACCTTTCACTGTTATGTCTTGCATCATATCCAATAACAACTCCCATTTCTTTCACATTTTGAAATAAGGTCTCCAAATATCTACACAATCCCTGAAATCATAAGCATATGATATTGATATATAATGCCTGCACATATTACAGGTACCCAATTAGAGATCTAAGTACAATGCTTATTTACTCATGCATGATTGTAGAACATCGACATCGGTTCTGGGGTTCTGAGCCCGGTTCTCAAATATAGAACATCAGCGTTCAAAATTGCTTAAAACTTATTTATGCTTACAAAGCGCTGAGAATTTACGACGTAGGTCATGACGTAGGCTATGCAGGGCTGCAAATAAATATTTGACTTGACAGGACATTTGTCCGATCACTTTTAATTTTGGTCAGACATAACTTAATTTGGTCGGACAAAAACCAACATCGCTACTTTTCTTCGGAGATATATACGTCACAAGATATATATAAGTCACGAGACAAGTATGTATAGCCATTCTGGCGCAACGTTCAGTAAAATGCTAGAATGCCTCGTAAATTTTATTGCAAAATGCAAATCGACTGAATTTGCAATCGGATTTTGTCACAGCAAAAAAGTGTATGTGACAATTTTTTTTGTGATTGGACCAATGTCCGATCAAAATTACTTTTGCTCGGACATTTGCCAAATTTAGTCGGACATTGTCCGATGTCCGACAGTAATTTGCAGCCTTGCTATGGCGTAAGCAAGAGTGTATGACGTCAATTTGTTTACAAGACTCTCCAGGCCCTCTAGAAGTTGTGACCTTCCCATGAGGGCCCGTGGAGGAGGCTGTATTTTCCTATATTTGTGACTGTCCCAACGCACCCGGCTTAATTAGGAATATGATTTGCATATACCTGAGAAGCCTGGATAACAGTCAAATCATTGAGTAATGAAAAGCCAGCTCCCATTTTTGCCCGAAGACCTAAAAATAATACATGTCGTGATTATAAACTACATGAAATATCTGACATCTGGGTTTATAGTGTTGATCCTACTTTGAACTTAACGACCAAGCATAAATTAATTGGTTGGAGTTGGGCGGGATTGGAAATAGTAGCCAGCAGCTTGCAGTGAGTCAACCTGAAACACTAAATGGCTGATAATATCTGAAGTGAACAGAGCGCTGTACGGGGACCGTAGGGTCGATTCCTGCAGGAAAACCAACATTATGACAAGCTTTGTAAAGAAAATGTAGTTCATCTTACCAGCAGTTCCAAACGCAATTCTTTGGCTAAATCTTGTATTAAGTTCATCATAATCTTTATCAGATATTAGTTGTTTTACTTCAGCTAATGTCTCTTTGTTCTACATAAATGTTTACAGATAAATGATAAATACAACATTTGCTCGTTGTTTCTTTCCACGAGAATATATGTTTCGCAGTGGTGTTATACTTCTTCAGGAATGAATAGCACTTAGGATGAGCAAACTGAATTTAGTTTTTCACCTTTTTTCTCCAAATTGGAGATCAAAGACGATGTTATTCATTCCTGATGCTGATGCAATGCAATGTACTGTACTGTACAACTTTTCTCTTTAGAGTTGTATAAATAATTAATGTCCAATAATGCCTGACATATTGTCAGACCGATCTCCGGTTTTGAGAAGTATTCTCTGTTTAGACCTAGATGCACTAGAATCTAAATGTTTGTTTTTAGGACATTACAAGCCTAGCACGGTGAATGGAGATACAAGGGTGTGGCCCTAAGCAGCCGGAATGTCAGTGATAGAGTACAGTGAATCGACCAAGCGTGGATACCAAACGACAAAGCCTGGGTACGAAACGGTAAGAGTATGAAATGACGGGTGTGTGAAACGAGCCTAAATTTACAATCTATCATGCCATGTTAGGAACTTAAGTAGTTAAGTTCATATCAAAATTATAGCCATATACAGTTTAAACTGCATATTCTTGACAATTAATATGAGCTTATCAATGAATAGATATGACAAAGAACGTTAGGGAGCAATGTAGGCATGTTAAAACACTTCTGTTTGGGTGATCTCTATTGGGTCATTTCATCCCTAGCTGATACCCATGCCCATGGAAGAAATGAAGAGCAAAATATTATTGTCAAATCAATAAATCAAGAGGTGTTGCCATGCATACAATGCAATGCAATGTACTGTACTGTACAACTTTTCTCTTTAGAGTTGTATAAATAATTAATGTCCAATAATGCCTGACATATTGTCAGACCGATCTCCGGTTTTGAGAAGTATTCTCTGTTTAGACCTAGATGCACTAGAATCTAAATGTTTGTTTTTAGGACATTACAAGCCTAGCACGGTGAATGGAGATACAAGGGTGTGGCCCTAAGCAGCCGGAATGTCAGTGATAGAGTACAGTGAATCGACCAAGCGTGGATACCAAACGACAAAGCCTGGGTACGAAACGGTAAGAGTATGAAATGACGGGTGTGTGAAACGAGCCTAAATTTACAATCTATCATGCCATGTTAGGAACTTAAGTAGTTAAGTTCATATCAAAATTATAGCCATATACAGTTTAAACTGCATATTCTTGACAATTAATATGAGCTTATCAATGAATAGATATGACAAAGAACGTTAGGGAGCAATGTAGGCATGTTAAAACACTTCTGTTTGGGTGATCTCTATTGGGTCATTTCATCCCTAGCTGATACCCATGCCCATGGAAGAAATGAAGAGCAAAATATTATTGTCAAATCAATAAATCAAGAGGTGTTGCCATGCATGGCCAATTATGTTGCTAATGCCAGAGATGAAATAACATTTCACCATTTCATGTTTATCAGTGAGTAGAGCTGTAAGGAATCCTACACAGAACAAAACAGATTGTATAAGATGTGTATCAGTGCCGTATTAACCATATGGTAGAAGTGGCATGTGCCACAGGTTAATAATAAACTGGGTTGAATTTTAGTTCAAATTATTGATGTATGCTTTTATTTTTTTTCAACTCATGAGCCATGAAAAGGTTTTTTGAATCTTTCTGAATTCAGTGTTTATAATGTTATTGGAGGGGGGGGGGAGGGGGAGTCATGGGGCCCTGCTGCACTGATAATATCACGGCCCTTAATCCAGCCCTGATGCGTATGTTGTGGCATCATTGGAATACATTGTACAGAATCATATATTGCTTGCTATATTGCTAACTTTAGGTTAAATTTTATTTAATAGTCATTATTTAATATAACAATTACCTTATATATATGGGTGTGATTGCATGTTTGCCATTTCCTCCTAAATAATGCCAGGTGTTTCAAAATTATTGGGGGGGGGGGGCTGTCACTGGGGACAGCGCTGGTGCTTAATGGGTTAATCAGACCATCTGCTCATGTGTAGTTAACCAAAAGTTAACCCATTTAGTCATGCCAATATGCACCCTACTTTATTATTTTACTGTCTAACATACACCAGACGATTTTTCTCATCTAGGGAGAGCACTGGCGCTCAATGGCTTAAGCAATCTTGTATCAAGAATTTTATAACCTGCCAGGCCTTTCATTGCTTTGGAGGGCCCGGGGTAAAATGCCCCCTGCCCCACCCTCTCGGCAGCCATGTTAACCATAGTCACAATAGCATCCTTGCATATCTCATTTTCTTTGCCGTTGCATTATATATTCAGTTTTGAAGGTCTAGGTGCAAACCTGGGATAGATCCAACCAGATCTGGTAGGAGGGGTGCTCATTAAGCTCTGGTCATAGTTCATGGTGCAACCCCTGAATAGTGTGTAATAACTATTTAAGAGAGATCGATGTACTGTCTTGCTTTGACAATTTTGCAATCACGTTATTTCGTTTTGTTTTTGTAAGTCCAAAAATAGATTTGGTAAGGAGATTGACAACACAAGCCCTTTCCAAAGAAGGGAGCATCCCCAAATCCACCCCTGCCTAGGTGAATGCCCAAGCTCAGCCTCAGACAAAAACAGAAAACAAAGTCACTTTCAAGTCACTACAAGTTGTGATGGTTTTGTCATTTCCTCAGGTTGAAAAATCTGAATCCATAAATTTGGCATGCTGCAAGGAAGTCAAGACTGCCTTCCTCTTCCAATTTTCTACCTCCTGCCTGTCAATCTTAAAAATTCTTCTTTCCCACATTTTTGCACACCCCAAAATAAACCCCCAATAAACCCCCCAGACTAATGTCTCAATCAATTCCATGCTTGCCCCCTCCCCCCTGGGCATTTGGCATCTGTTCTCAGGGTTGGCGATTTTCTCCTTGGAAGTGATCATGATGTCCCAGGGGAGAGGAAACTCAACATCTTTCATTTCTTGTTGTTTAATACTTACTTTTATAATGTTCTAGTTTTGATTGTTTCTTTGATTGAAATGGGAATACCACTTTGTATTAATTTTGTACTTTGAGCTTGTAGTAAATGTGATGCAGGAATACATGAACCACAAACTCAATTTATGTATTAAGTTTTTGAAACTGCTGCTTTCACAATTTTCATGAAATAACAGATCTTTTGTGATGTTAAGTACAGGGGCTGGTTGTACTATAAAACTCTTCTAAAATCACTTTTTTAATCACTATTTTGTAGTTAGATAGTGATTAACTCTCAAATACGTGCTTCTTATTTGATGACGTTTCCACTAACTATAGTTAACTTTAACAGGGTGTTAGCCAGAGGTAAAAAAAACAAACTGTGTTTACCTGAAATTGGGAAATTTATTTTAGCCTGAAGCCGGCATGCGGTTGCCTACTCTCGATTTTTAAAATTTTTGTGTCTTTGAAATGGCATTTCCCGTATCTTGGGAGTAATTTTGAGCAAATGTATGTTAATGGCGTATTAACAACATTGAATTTCTATAACTATTTTTTGGCTGACCCAAATTGGGAAATTGCGACCTCAAGATAATAGGGAAAACCATGTTTCAGGGTTCGAGATTGGAATTTTTTACCAGTATCCATTATGGATACCAGCATTTCAAAGTTGGTATTCAAATTCAAAAACCGGTATCCAAATATAAGAATATGGTCATAGAATCATGATATGATTATCGAATGTTCGAAACACATATACAGACAAAAGCCATTAGGTATTCTTTACTTTTAGTTCACTACAGGGTACAGAGAACATTGATAAAGTAAGTTACAAAGTAGTATAGATATGCATTATTTCTAAATATATCCCTAACCTTATTTATAAGTATAACTATATATATAAACATATTATCATGATAAATTTCCTCTGTTCTTCACCAAACTATTTGGTATTCGAACATGTGCTTCGAGATCAAAACAGAGAAGAATCCGGAAGTTGAAATGTAGCCTGATAATGAAAACACCCGCCAATTTCAGGTGAATTTGCGGGTGTTTCAGGCTCTCAGTAATTAGCTAATGGAAGTGAAATTTGGAGCAAAGTATTAAAAATATATACTTTAGCGTTCGCTGCTCAAAGTTTACGAGTGTTTCAAAACTTATCTGTAAAATTATGTATATATTTGTGATTCCCTTTGATAAAGTTTATGTTCAACAATTGATATAAGCAAGAATTCCCTGGTATCCAGTTAGGATACCAAAGTTTTAACATCTGGTATCCAAAATTGAAAACTGGTATCGTCAAGGATACTAGGATACCGCCAATCTTGAACCCTGCCATGTTTAACGCAGAATTTTTGACTGTAGCTATAAGACCCTGTTTAATCACTTTTTTATACAAAATGTAAAGATACAGCTTGCATTATTAATCAGATATTATTTTTCAAAAGTTTTAAAAGACTGTAGTGTGGGGGGGAGGGAAAAAATAAGGGGGGCATATGTATAAATAAATTACTAGAAGGGGGGGGGGCTATTAAATTTTTTCAAGAAAATGTGGGGGGTTGCAATTAAATTTGAAGGAATTTGCTTAATAAGCCTGGTATCCAATTGGTTGTAAATGTTGCGACTAAATCATGGTCACTGATGTGAACATAGTCTTTCGAGACATGGTCTGGAAACTCGGTAAACTTCAAAGCGGTTTTAATGAGCAGGGATTTTATGTTGAGCTGTACCTTACCTTACACCGTGCACATCCTTTGTTTTAGGTTTATTAATATTTAAATAGCATGGTTGAATGACTGAACTGAAACGTTGCTATTGGATGATTCGTTCATCATACTGAAATACAATAGGGCCATTTATACGGAACAAAATAAGACGCGACTTACATAAGACCAGGGTCTTAGCTAGGATTTTAGATCTTGGGCGTGTTTCTAATGACCAGGGCGTGTACATGTCAACTACCTTGAATAGCAAAATCGCGGTTCTAGTTGTGCATGCATGCTCGTCAACAATAATGCTTGTGGTTGTTCTACGCTTTGCAACCAAACACAAGGCGAGCATACACTCAGATTGCGCACTGACATTAATTAAGT